ATCCACGATCATCCCCAAAAAAAAAGAAAAAAAATCGAATGAAACAATCGATATATCGATCTATCGATCCTCATTATCGAAAAACTTAATGCGAACTGGTACAAACAAAACAACAACAACAACAAGTCGTTAGGGGGTGTTTTACGATAAGGGAAATTAATAAAAATAATTTTTATTAATAATAATTTGTTGTTTGTTTTTTTGAAGTGGTGGGGGAGAAATCTTATTGAGAATGGATTGTTTGTTTGTTTGTTTGTTTGTTTGTTTGTTTGTTTGTTTGTTTGTTTGTTTGTTTGTTCTTGTTACCCTACCGAGTTCATAAAATTTTTTTTTTCGTAATCGATTACATAAAAAACATTTTTATCCCTGTTAAATGTCAATGGTAGGTAGGAGATGGAAACAAATCGGGATATTGGAATGGTGCGTGTGTGACCTGTTAGTGACACCTAAGGCTATGGGTCATATGTTGACATTGTCTCTTAAAACGTGGGGAGCAAGTAATAATAATAATAATACTAACACCTTGAAGAAAATTATTTAATAAATAATTACAAAATAATTAATGATGATTGATTGATTGATTGTTTGTTTGTTTTCGATATCTGTAAAAAAAAAATTTTTTAATACGATAATTGTTAGATAAATTAATGACAGGTCCTGACACGGGTGACACAAACAACAAACGACAAACAACAACAACAACAAAACATTTATAAACTCGTAAATCACTTTTAATGCTTTCATTGTTTATAATTAAAAAAAAAAAAAATTTTCTTTGTCGATGATCGAAATTATCGACATTACGCGTTTAATTTGTTTTTTCTAATGCCACTGTCGGAAAATTTAAAAGAGTCACGTGTATATTCGATATATTATTATTATTATTATTTACGTAACATCCTTCAATTATTGACGAGTACACACACAGAGAAAAAAAATGAACACACGTTTAAACCGCGACACTCGTTTGCCTGCCTGCCTACCTTCGCCTAACTGAAGGCCAGGGTTAGGTGTTAACAAGAGAAAGAAAAAATACAATTATTATTATTATTAATATCTTACCCCTTCTCTTAATAATCCATCGGACGGATTAACCGGAAATTAATCTCATAATACAAGTATAATAATAATAATCATCCCTTTGTATAAAAAAAAAAAAAAGAAAATTTTTTATGGTATCGTATTAAAAAAATTTCCGGGTCGACAAACCAGGTTAGTTGATGACCAGAGGTGGTGCCTTGCCTGGTCATTTAGTTAGGATCATTGATCCTTCAACACGTGTGCCTGAATTCGAGTATTATGCATTCTTATTATAAAAAAACGGCGCAATGTATGTGCGTGTGCGTGTGCGTGTGTGTAAAAATAGAATCGATTTTGTGATTCGATCCAATAGTCACGTAGACCAAAATTCTAAAAATAGAAACTCTCTCGTTTATATATCAACATTCTTCTTCTATAAAACAAAAAACAAAAGGTTCAACTTTGTAGGTACCTCCTCCTATATACCTTGGGGTCATTTAATCCGGATTTAATTTCGACATAGCCATTGCGAAAACGTTCGACTCTTACTTACTTACCACTACTCAACACGTCTCATTTCCCATGAGAACTTTCTTTTTAACATAAATCGTTTTGATATTTTTTTTTTGTACAAAAACAAACAAACAAACAAACGACGAATTGTTGTTTGGATTCGATGTGGATGTTATTTTAGATTAAACCTTAATTATAATAATAATTAACGGAAAAGATGAAGTAAAAACACACAAAACAAACAAATTTTAATGTTCCCGATTACGGGGGGTTGGTTGTTGATAACAAACAAATTTCCGTATTTGATTCGTCGTCATCTTATTATTATTATTATTATTATTATTATTATTATTATTATTATTATTATGATTGATTTATTAGGGAATTTTTTTTTTTTTTTAAACAATTTTGAAATCCCGAATTACGGGAAAGGTCAACGCAACTATTAACGGAGCAATTATCTATACTAATAATGATGATTAGTCTGATGAACTTTTTTTTTTAGGTACTTCCTCGGGTCGGTGACAGATTAGGGGACCGGGGGGTTTGTAAAAAAAACAACGAAAAATCTGATAATTTCTTTGATGTTTGTTTGTTTGTTTGTTTACCCTTTTAAAAGACACACGTGCGTTTCAAAGAGAGAAAAACAGGAAGAAAATCTGGAGGGAAAAAAGTTTATTTTTTTAAAAATAATTTTCGTTTGTCCTCGCCAAGGTCAGGGAGGGGGAGGGAAGGGAAGGGAAGGGGGAAGTGTGAAAATTAGAATAGGTACAAATTCTAAAATTAAAAAGTTTTTCGAAATACTAGAAAAAAAAAAAACAAGAGGAAAGTCAAGACCATGACACAAAATCTAAAAATAGATAGAAATCTGGACCAAGTTATGTTGTTGATTGTCCAACGTTGTTAATGTCAAAAAATTATATTTAATGATCTAAGGGTTGCATAAATGAGTAGGAGTGGGAGTAGGAGAGGGGAGGGAGAAAGGGGGGAAAAGGGCAAAACGAAAAAAAAACCGGCAAAACTCGTGTTTGCTTTCTAAAAATAAAAAATAAAAAATTTTAATAACGAACCTGATTTGCAACACAAAATTATTAAAAGAAACAAAAGCTAAAAATACCGTTTGTTACTTTTTTTCGAACGTGTCACACCACCCCGTTTAACGTGTCTTTAATTTCCTTGACCGCCGGTATTTTGGAGGGAAAAAAATATATTTAAAAATAATTTTTTTTTTAAAATCAAAATCTCGTCTTTTAAACTAGGTTACACTAGGAATATTAATAAAATTAATTTTTTTTTATCGATTTTGATAAAAAAAAAATTTTTTTCTTTTTCTCCAGTTTCTATAATTAGCTCAAAAATTTAAACTGGAGAATTAATATCAAAATGAGCTCATGGACGATAAGATGACGATGACGACGAAAAAAAAAAAAAAAATTTTTTTTCGATTTGGATTACGAGGCGAACCGCGTTCGTTTGAAATAAAAAAAAAAAATGTTGCAACCGAAAAAAAAAAGTTTCGATTTTTTTTTTGCTACAACAAACAAACAACAAACACCCTTACCTATTTTTTATACAAACCTTTTGTTACATTGACGAGAAAACAAACACAAACGATCCATACTTAATAATTTGACTGCTAACAATCGCACATAAATAATAATTTTTTAATCGTTTATTAACTAATTAAATTCTTTATCCAAAAAAATTTATTATTATTATTATCATCGTTCGTTTGTTGGGGCGTTTGTTTGATTGTTTTTAATTACGTTTTTCCGTTTCGTAATATTA